CGTCCTCACTGACTCAGGATATTTTTGTCTCCATGACACAGGATAAAAAAATCTTAACTTTATAGCTGTTCTACAAGTGAACCCCCAAACCATTTAATTTAATCATGAGTCACCCACATGTGAAAAGATGGACAATGTCTCTCCCAATTTCAAAAATTACTACTGCCGATGATGAATAACAGTGCTCCTTGCATGCTACTTTAGCCACATTCCTCCTTACGTCTTTTATAAACAGCATCTTCTGGGAAATTAATGAATCTCCATTTCTTAACTCAAGGACTTGTTACAATACTTTCCTCCACCTCAGAATTAAATCTCTGGAGGACATGTTCCACATATCATTTCCATTTTCATAACCATATGTATCCTCACCACACTAAAACCTGGACTGTATTCTCTCACCTTCACAGTCATGAGCAGAAGAGAAAGAAGAAAGAAGTTACCAATAAGGACTACTAAGACTTTTCATGATATAATTCTCCATGGGTTGTTAGAATTACTAACATGACTTTGTTGGTTTCTTGTCTGCAGCCAGTTAATGTTGGGTTGGTCCAGAGTTTACCTCTTTCCCTTCATTTCTCCACCTATGCTCATTCTTTTTAGGGTCTCACCCAATATCATGACTTGAAGTAACAATGTAAGCTAACAACTCCCAAATTTACACATCCAGGTGATCACCTTCTACCAATGTTCAATCATAATTTGAGTTGCGTATCAGGCAGGGACACTTTGCATTCTCATAAACATTTCAAACTGACCGTGTTGGAAATTGGACTCCACTTTCTCTTAAGTTACCATTACTTGCAGCCTCCCCTCCTCAAGGGTTGGCAAATCCACTCTTCGCATCCTCTGGAACCATTAAATTTCTCAAAAGTCTGTGCATCCTGTGGAAAAGGCGCTGGGCCAAAAAAGGCCCAAGAGAGGCTAGTCAATCCCATCCCAACGTTTTGGGGAGGTGTCCCGCTTCCTCTTTTTGGAGGTTATTTTAACTGCTCATTTAGCCGGTTTCCCTATAAGAGGATCAAGAAAAGAGGCAATGTGAGTGGGAAGTCCCAAGCCCAGTCCATGCTAAGACTAAGTGCCTTTGCACTTGGCCTGACCCTGGGCAATTGTCCCCGCTCCTGGGTCTCGATCTCCCTGAGAGTGGAAAGCATGGTTTGGTCCCTAGGACCTGTGACCTCTGTAAAAAGGCGGCCCTGAAGCGAGGCTTGGTCTCGCGCGTTAGGTCGGGAGCCGAGAGACAGACACGAAGCCTCATGTGTAGCAAAATGCTGTTTATTTTGAGCATCTGGGTGCAGATGGGTGGAGGCCGAAAAAGGCATCCACGAGAGAAAAGCGGAGAGCCTTGAGCTTCATAGATGGTTTTTTTCGGGGCGGAGTAGGTGGGCCAGAACAGCTGCTTGTAATAAATTCTTCTTCAAATAACCAACTCCTAGGACCCTTTTGCCCTAGTCACATCCGTCCTTCTGCTCTGGCGTCGTCCTTATCAGGAGAGCGAGGGAGGATACCTTCCTCTCTACCAGGGAGGGAGGGCGAAGGAATGCTGGCTGCAGTGTTTATTAGAACTACAGAGTACAGGGACTCCCCAGACTCCTGC